TGCTTTCTTTTTGGTAATTTACTAAGCATTACTTATAATAAAAACTTAGTTCCTTTGTATGTAAAAATTTTATATGCTTGCCATCCAGGCTGACTCTCCTCCCTGACCTGCTGCAAAGAACACGACTGAATTCCCCATCTTTGATCAAAGTCAGTATAGCAATGCATTTCTGCTGCCACAAATCTTTTACATACTCTCAGACAGTTATGTATTACAGAAGATATGAACTCTTGCCCCTTTACAATTTACTCACTTTTGCAGCCTTCCCACAAATGTTTCTTCTAACATTACTTGGCTAACCGCAGACAGAATGCTCTTGTCCAAAGGGTCTGTGGTAAGCATATTTCAGCCAGAACCCACTGCAAGAAAAGGGAAATACATAAAACTGCTATTGACAACAGATGCTCTGATTCCACCTGGGAATCTAGCCTTAGGCCTTGTTAGACAAGTCACTGTGTGATTCTAGATCATAGGATTAAATAATAGAAAATGGCTAAATTTCAGTTCTAAAAGACAGTTTTTCATGTCTCCACAGTCAGCAAAATGGAAGTTGTTCCTTGCTCAATAAGAGAAAACACAAGACACATAACTGGGTCATGAAAGAAGAGGAGCTGAGAAACAGAGCAAGGAGGAAATGGTTTGCTCACAAGGGATTTACAGAAAGGTTTTAGGCAAAGAAGCAGCAAAGACCTACATTTACCTGCAAAATTGCAGAAAAAAACCTTGCCAATTTGCCACTGTTTCTTTTCACTTCGTATTATTTTGATTCCAATTCTCATCAGAAATAGAGCACTGGCAATTCCGACACTGAATTTTGGGATTCTAGAGATAGCTGTGTAAACCCAGCATTTGTTTCATCCAAAAACGTACTGCTTGAGGATCAGAAAGTCAGCAGTATTTCCTGGACAGCCCATTTTCCACTCTAATTCTATCTCACAAGACAGGTTCTTAGCCGCTATGCAGGTTTATTGTCTTCATTTACTGTTCAAACCAATTGTTCTCACAAGTTACTCCGCACACCTCTCAAGATCTCTAGGCTTCTTCACAATACTTATAAATAATGTAAGACTGAATTGTTTATAGCATCTTGAAATAGGGCCAAATTCCAGATAAAAGGTGACTAGGAATCCTTTTTCCTCAGTAACACTAAAGCACATCCCCATACAGCAGATGCATTTCTGCACATACCAGCTCTTGAATATTAAATTCAGTAGGCACCAGCTCACAAACAGCACACAGGAACTCCTGGGCAGCTGGATCTAGGTGGTCCTGCTGGAGCAGGGAGGTTGAACCAGATGACCAGAGGTCCCTTCCAATTCCAATGACTCCATGATTCCTATGAGCTCATATACCTTCAGAATACTTTACTGGTTTTCCACATATCTGACTTTAGAGGGCAACTCAGAAAGCAGTATCACAAGATGCTTCAGCCAGGTGGCACATCACAAATTCTTAGTGGGTAAAGCAAGAAAAGCTACAGTACTGACCAGTTACAATGAGAGATGTGATTTAGCATCTCCCCAGCAAGTAGCAAAGCAATGTGACAATACAGTGTCTCCACCAGAAAGAAGGATAATATCCCTCCCCCCCCAGATTTCTCTCTTAGGCAACAAGCCACACTTTCCAGCATTATAGGCAAGTCTGGAAGACAGACAGGAAAACTCAGCTCAATTCAACAGCTGCTCTCAAGCATACAATGACACTTCACAGTTAACATACAAGCATCCTTGATACAATGCTATGTGCAGATCAGAGAACCACCAGATTCCATAGTTATCCCACTTTCCTCCTAAGGCACTATATTGCCTGCTGATTAAGATGGCAAAAAAATAAATAACAATTTCTGGAAAGTCAAGGTTCTCTAGAAATCTTTCTTTTCAAGGAAGAAATTACTTGGCCTTATATTGTGAGGCAGTTATACTTCCAAGACAGATGTATAAAAAAGAAAGCCCAGCACTGCAAAAGGACAATAAATAGAACTTGATTCACTAAAACAGGGGAAGGTGTAGCTTCCCCAAAATGAGTTTTGCAATAGTAAGAACACCAGCATCCCTGTCTCTAATACACCCTCTACCTAGCAAGGAAGTTAGTCTAGTCTAAAAGCAATCAGTCCTGCAGACTTGGAAATGTAAGGCTGGAGAACCAGAAACTCAAATAAAGAACAGTAAGAAATTAAGATGCTTAGTTGGACTGTAGGGTTTAAAACCTGACAGTAGTCTCTCCTACTTCTCACCCACCATGAAGGATACTGCCAAGCAAGAAAACATTTTTCCCTTTTATGCAGCAAATAATTAAATTTCTCAGAAGGGAAACCAGATTTCACTATTTTCTTTTCCAACAGCAGAACACTGACTCATAGTATTATAAAGTGTGGAGGTGCAACATTTCTTTCCAAAAGGTAGTCATTTTGTATCTCATGGTACAGCTACCTTAAGATAAGTTTTAGGCACACAAAGTCTGACGCACAGGTACCACTCCCTGCTCCCCCAAACTTCAGGTATCATTTTCTCTTACTGCATTTTATTATGTGCCCAGGCATATTAGGAAAGGGCTATAAAACAGTTACTGAACAAAATGGCTTCTACTGCTAGGTGAAGATTTAACCATTTGCTTAATTGCACAATGAAGCCCACAGATGATACTAAAGAAAAACTACATACCAGCATTTCCAGCTGAAAACACTGAACAACAGCCAATAAAAGCATTTTCTCAAAACAGCACATTCAGCGTTCTCATTAACAAGAGAATTTCTATGCAAGACCATGCCATCCAATGCAGAACTATATCTAGAAACTCACTAAGAGGTCACGTGGGTGGTGGTAGATCTGCAGAGGTTTTGATCAAGCAGAGCACAATCTAGCAGTCACATCTGTACTGGAATAAGAAAATAGTGTCCATGTTAAGACATTGTTCTTGCTCTGGGTAAGTTCTGCTGCTTGACGTCATCAGCTTCATATCACACACTAGACAATAGTCCCTGATTCTATTCCACACTTTCTCTTAGAACCAGAAGTCATTTAATTCCCCTGTACAACAAAAGTCAGAGTAAGATTGACCCATACTTACCCACAGGCTAACGACAACAAAGAGTCAATGCTATATAAAAGATACTTAGCATAGGACCTAGCTTGGGAAGACAAAGGTAAATCCAAATGTCAAAACTGAGTCTTCAGAAACTCTTCCTGTGCTTCAAAGCAGGAAGAACTGCTACAAATGAACCGATTCTAGAAAACATTCTGGAAAGTCACTGTATGAAAACTGAGTAATCCAAGACTATCACAACGCATGCACAAGGAAAGGGCACGAAGACCAGCATAAGGGGAGACTAACCAATCCTTGGCTTCCAAATCAAGTCCCTCACAATGATTTACATAAATAATTTGCTATGGAAATTTTTAGTTAAAAAAAATAATCAAATAAATGTGGTCACAGAGATATCTGGTATATAGAGAATAATGGTTCTATCTTGTTTCTGACTTGGTCTGTGAAGACTTCAATTTTTAGAAACTACAAATAAACGTAAAACCAACTTAATTGGTTTCCTAAAATAACTAGACAATTAATAACAATTTGCCACCAAGACAAAGTGAAACAAGAAAAAATTCAGTCATAATCTTCAACTTTAGAAACTTTTAAAGGGTTACTCTTTAGCATAGAATTACTTGTGGAACATGACTTGCAGAAGTGCTTCTGCACATTGTCAACAGCAAAATACTGGGATCTGGGAAAAATCCACAGTAATTCCAGAAATGTGACAGCAAAAGACATGGGCAAACACAAATGCCTGCACCTAGAATTAAGAATGATCTTCAGAAGGGAAGAAGAAGCCAGGCTCCTTTGATAACTAGTCTCAGTAAAGATTAAGATGATGAAGTATTCATTGTGACAACCATGTCTATAATGGTGCTCCCTCATTACAGATCTCAAAAACGGGAACCCTACTCACCTCATAAATTCCCATTGACTCTGTTGGCACGTGTACAGGGGGATCTCCCCTTTACAATGTTCAACAGATTAGAATCCAGTACAGCCTTTCTCTGCACCACTGAAATTTCACTCCCACAATACATATTCTACATTCAATGTACCTCTGGTCCCACGTGTTACATATTGCTCAAATCTCAGGACACTGATAAACGTGGCACATGGTCAGACAGAAAATTTGTGCGAGAGCTGCATTAGAATAAACAAGAGTAGTGATTAATCACAGTATTGTGCCCTACTCCATGCTTTTTATCCCTCATAAATGGAATCCTGGAATTAGCAAAATTCATATATCAGCTGTTTATCAGTTCTCATGCCCCAAGGATTGTATCTCCTAAAGCTGATAAGGGCTTCTGAAATTCTCAAGTATGCCCACAGACTATATTGAGCCAGACTTTCCCCAGTCATCTGCTAGAGTGAAAGAATTTGTCCCTAGTAATAAGCATCAGGAGGACATGGAGTTCAACCACTAGATAGCAAAGCAACAGACTCCCTGCCAACTTTTCCTGCTGCATAGGACTCACTTCACTTTGATGCTCTCACAAGAATCAAAATGAACAACAGAACCCGAAATAAAATTCAAGTAGCTTCAAAAAGAGTCAAAATCTTACAGATGCCCAACTTTCCTTCTCAATAGTTAATCCTTACAAGTACCTACTCCATCACATGTGCATATAACAGCACGTTTTCTTAATTGCTTATTTTTTCAATTATCTCCCTTCACCTCCCAGAAAAAAATTAAATTAAATCCAATCTCTTAATCTTCCAGCACTAGTAATGGGAATCTAGCATACTTCTCCCATGAGCTAGTCCTTTATGTTCAAAAGCACTCAGCATACCTCATTTCAGCCACTTTCTCAAAGGGGATTGGTATGACAGGTATGGTCCATTCTTAAGGAAGATGAATCATGGTGGGCACTTCTTAACAACACACAGCTGCAGAAGAATATCCAGAGCAAGATAAGACATTTTAGGGAGCCACCTACCCCTGTGGAACTCCAGTGTCTAATATTTTTCCAGCTTCTGTGCAATGGATGTCTCTAACCCTAGTCAGTTCTTCCAGCAAAGATTCTCCCCAACTAGGGTTACACAGTAGAAATTCCAAAGCAACAGGCTATGTACAGACATAACAGCATTCCCTCCAACAGAGAGATGAAAAGGAGAGAATACCTGAGGATGTGTACCCTCTACTCCATTTTCTGAATCCCAGCCTCCCCCTTGCCTTGGAATTAGCTCTACAAAGCAGTATCTGTTATGTACATTAATCTCAGCTCCCTTCCTTTGGGGAGTTTCCCCTCAAAAGTGAAAGGCAAATTCCAGGACAGAGACAGGTGCTGGGGAGGGAGAGGTCTCCTTAGGATGACTCGCCAGAAGCAAGAGGACCTGCAGCTTTCTTCTTAGGGCGGGCTTTCACACTTCTTACTGGAAGCTGAGGAAAAAGAAAAAGAGGCATCTCAGGTCAGCTTACTTTAACACCTAAATGTCTAATAAATATACAAGAATACAGAGTGAAAATACGACAAAACAACTACAACAATATGACCTTATTCATGTCAACCACCACTTCAAAAAGGCTGTTTAACCATTCAATTTGGTTTTGGTTAGTAAACAAATCACTCTGAGCATATCCATCAAACAGCAACCAGAAGAGGAAGGCATTCTAAAACTGGACAAGTGTGATAATAAAATCAAAGTGCTATAACTTTTCTGCTTCTTGACTGCCATCCCAAATGCTGTTCTCTGAAAGATGCAAAATCATCTTGAACTTGTTTGCACACTTTACTGCAGTGTCTTTCATTCTAGATAACTGACAAGAAGAGTGCATTCATGATCTACGATGCAGTCAGCCCTTCCAGGCAATCTCTGAGATCTCAAAGACCTCCTACAACTCCTACATCTGAACCAAAGATCCAAAAAGACTGAGCATAAAAACCAATATGCCTGCAAAGGGGTTTATCAGAATGTCTGTATTCACAATAAACAGCATAGGAGAGTTGTTACTGTCTTTTCATTATTTCACTTTAGAAATTCCTCACTAAGAAGCTTGAAATCAAATTTTGTTCCTCTTGCTTCCCTGCTCCTGTCTAATATGATAGAGAAGAAAGCAGAGGGGTCAACTCAGAAGACAGCCTCGGGAATTTAAAAAAGATCCAGGCTGATTTAAAATGCATCTTTACACATACATGTCCATCACTCGATATATTCAAAAGGCATCTGGACATGGTCCTGGGAAACCAGCTCTAGATGGCATTGCATGAGCAGTGGGGCTGGACCAGATGATCTCCAATCTCAACCATTCTGTGATTCTGTTACAAAGAGTACTTAATCACATACAAAGATGTCCCATACACTGCAAAATAAGGTTAACGGTACAACTTAAAATTATCCTCTACGCAATTACTTTCCTTCAAATTATTTAAGGTGAACAATATGAGCCAGTCATATAGCAGTCTTTATCTTAAATAAATTTTTTTAATTATTTTTTTTTTTTAATTTAAGTCTGAATTGAATCAAGCAAACAGGACCCCAACTTCAAAAAAAGGGAGAAGCATTTTATCTCATATAAATCAACCCACAAGAAACAGTCAAGTAGGAGTCAAAGCCTGGAAAGCAGCATCTCAAAAAGCATATTCTACGAAACACACCAACAGCTGAAAAAAACTGAAGACTGTTAAGCTAAAACAGCTCCTGGACACAATTGCATTTATTTTCATGTATGGTTTGTTTTAATAATAAGAATACAAGCAACCCGTGTCCCGTCTGAATGACTGTAAGTGTCTTGGAGGGGACAGCTCAACAATAACTTGTTACCCAAACTTTAAGACAAAACCCCAGGGTGGGGGGATATGGGGAGTGGTGTGGAGGGGGAAATTACATTTTCCTCATATCTAATATGCAGAAGTCCAGGAAGGCCTAAAAGGGTACAGAACCATTGCATTTTAAATAAGAAGAAAGTGGCCGTCCCAGGGATAAATGTCACAGTAGTAGTATATATTCAGACTGTAACAGACAGGAGAAAGGATATAGTCAACAAAACACGTTAAAAATATCTAATGCCCCACCCTTCAGCACAAAACCTGAATGAAAGCAAAGCTAGGTCTTGGCTTATGACAGAGGCTTACGAGCATGATAAAAATAGAAAAACTAGAGACTAGTATAGCAAGTAAACAGCAAGTCCTCTGATGTAGAACTCAGCAAGCAAAGACTTAGTCCAACAAAGTTTATATAAACAGCTTCTAAAATGCACTGAGACTATGAAGCCAGAGCCTTCCAACAAAGCTCACCAATCAATGTCTGTGCTGAAAATAATTTACACACCAAGCTTACCTCAGCTTTCACCATCTTCTTAGGAGTTTTGAGACTCTGGGTACGTTTAGGAAGTTTGTCTCCTGCATCTTCATCTGATGGGTCTGTTCTAGTCTCCGACGGAGTTCCATTAGACCTCAGTGCCACACTGCTCTCCTCTCCTGAGGAGTAACAGGAAGCTAAGGAATAAAAGAGAAAGTTTTAGCAAATGCTTTAAAAAAAAATCACATAAAGTCTAAAACGGCCCATCCTGAAGGGCCACATGAATGGATGTCAACAATCCTTAAGAAAGATCCAGAAGGTACAGACACGTGTTAGTAGGTGGGAAGAGACTAGGAAAGACAATGCATCTTCTCCCAGATAATTTGGAATTTTATATTCCTTCTGAGACCTAAAGTATGAAAAGTCCAGGGAACTCCCTCTTCCCTCCTGGCTCACCATACGAGGTCTAACACAATGGCCCAGCAGGTGTGTTTTGTACCTGAATCCTCAATGGTTTCAAGAAGACTCCCACCAGAGGGGTGCAGCTGCGGCTCATGGCTTCGCATATGCACGGTATCTTCATCTCGGATCAGAGTGAGATCCTGCATGCTGAAACTTCGCAGCTTCTCAGACAAAACTCCCTGGCCCTAAGAGAACATAAAAATTAGGGACAAGGGCACTGCACTTTGCCTTCACCAAGATCACCTCACATGAGTTAACGTGGAAGAAGAGGAAAGGTGCCCTATTGCCCACTATGGTACTCTGAAAAAAAACAGAGAAGGGAAAAAGAAAAGTATGCTCCCAAGATCAACAGGGAAGAGGTTAAAGCAAAATCCATTCCACTCTCCCTCCACTTTTCACAAATCAAAGATGGGATTAACTGCAAGGCAAACTGGAGGTAAGGAAAAGTAGATTGGTGCCAACAGGTACCAGCATCCCTAACAGACCCATAGCACTAATTGCTGGCACACAAAACTAAACTGCTGGGGAATTCCTGAATGTTAAAGAAGGTGTTGCATTACCTTTGCAGCTGCAGTAACTGCTGCGTTGGCAGCAAGGTTTAACCCTCTCTTGCCAACTCGCATCATGGTTTCATAGCTTTTGTCACGAGCCTGAGTAATGTATTCATCAATTTCCTAGAAAGGCAATGTGGAACATGGCATTTAGCTCCTTGTTACAAACATGATCAAAGTCTCCCCGCCATCACCCTTAAAAACCCAAAACTCACTGGCTGCTTTTTTCCAGGCTACCAGCATCAGCTGTCATTGATCACGTAACTGCGGTTTCTCTGCTACTTACAGAAATCTTGCAAATGCAGCTCTTACTTAAAGTATGCTATCTCAAAATTGGAACAACTGAAACAAAGCAGTTGTTTATACTGACAATGCAAAAAACCAGCATGGCTACAGCACATGCTGCTCCTATCATGATTCAAAGAGTGTAACCACAGACAGTGACAATAAGGGCTCATGACACTGGGTTAGCCAAACACGCTTTCTAAGCATTAGGCAAACTACTGGCTATGTTACAATCTTCAATAAGCCGCAGTATGACATCATTGTCAGAGACAGAATCATTCTATGTCCACTAATGTCAGCACAAGCGTGACTCAAGCATTTCAGTTTTTATTGTGGCATAACTGAATTAGAAGTCAGTCAACTCCCAGACAGGTCAGTATCTTCTAACAAGAGAGTACCTTCTCCTTATTGGAGAGCGTTGGGTGCACAAACTTCCTGTAGAGGACACTGGAGCCCTTGGTGTAAGGGGAGAGCAGCCAAATCACAAATGCTATTTTCAGCTCGAAATAAAAGGGAAACCTGAGAGAAAGATGGGGAAAAAAAAAAAAAAAGAGAGAGAAAGAAAGATGGAGAACTGGAATCAAGATCAGCACAGAGACAGATGGAGATAACTGGTAGAGGGCAGAACAGGCAGGAAGAGCAAAGGCAAGATAAAGGCTCAGAAACAAAAGAATCGATGTATCAGGTCAGAATAGCAGAACCCTCTTTTGGAATCCTAAGACATACCTTCTTCGAGTCTCATTTAGTCTTTCATCCATAGCCATGAAAACTCCATAAACAGGGCATCTCTCAGCCCTGCAAACACACCAAATTACAATCTGATAGCTACTCTCATAATTCTGAAGTTTGTTTAGAGAGTATTCACTGGATGATAATATTACATTAGCTTCCTTCTAATTTTCCAAAATTTTCAACTACATATGTCACTAAATCTCAAGTTCCTGCTAAGGCTGATGGCTCAGTTTCTGAAACCTCCAGTAAGTACTCCTCAGATAAGGAGGATCAGTGTAAACAAAAAAGAGCAGGCAGCTTTTAAGTCTCTCATCTCATTACCCTTACCCAATAAAGTCTCTGGGAAGATACAATAGCAAAGATTGAAACAAGTTAATTCAAACTTTCTACTGTCTCTATAAGGAGCAAGAGACTTCTGTTTTCATTGGTCCACTATAAGCACATGAACAAGCCAAAGCTCTCGTACTTTTTAGGTCTTTGCTTTTCAAATTTTTTGCAGGAAGAAGCAAAACTGCTCAGCATTTTCTAAAGGTATGCATAGTAGCCATTTCACATTTCTTTAAAAGATGCAACTCTTGACTAGCATTCTTTCAGAGGTATATGCAAAGCTCAAACACTAAAGCAACAAAGAAATTGAAGATATCCTGTTCCAAGGGTTTAGCTGAAGACATATAACAATGATTTGCCATTTTTGGAGGCCTCCATATTGCCAAGTGTCCTGGTTTTTCCAAGTTAAACTACTACACCAAGCATGACACACAGCACTGAAAGGATTAAGAACCTGCTCCCCCTGACTCCAGTCCACCCCACCCTCACTAATAGAAGAGAATTTCATCGTGCAAAACATCACTCAGAGCACGGACATCTGCTCTTCCACCCAATAGGCTCTCAAAGCAAAATAGGTCCTTTCCTTCCACCATAATTTTTTTTTTCCAAGCATTTTTTAGACCACCATTTCTCAAACTTTACCAGTTCACATTAACAGCTTCTCAAAAATATTTTATGTTATGAATAGATGAAGATCCTCTTACAGAGACTGTCTATTTATCCTAACTGTTTGCAAGTATAGGAAATGAAACAGCTAAAACAGAAACCTGTAGACAGGGATTGAAAACTCCTGAAGGAGAGACAAGTTTATTCTTAGCATCCTACCACTACTTCTATCTTCTTTCAAAAAAAACCCCACCCCAACCAACAAAAAACCCCATGCCACCAAGGAACTCACCAAGAAAGAACAATGTCTGTGAGCGTTTCTGCAGTGGTGAAAAATGCAAACACAATCCAGTACATCATCCACTTCACCTGCAAAAGAGCAGTCACTCAATAGACATACAGGAACCCAGGAAAAAAAAAAAAAGTGAAATGTCTTCTTAGTAAAAATGACTCGTCATGTTCACGCATTAAGATGAAATCAACAACAAGAAAACATATATAATCAGTAATGGAGAGGGTCACGTTCCAAATGGTACATTATAGTTTGGGAAAGCATGTAGGATTAATGTGCTCAAGTAGATAAATGCATACAGACACACTGATGAATGCATGCCCTGTAGCAATATCAGGATGCAACAGTGTTAAAGTCCCAAATAAGCCATCTAAAAAGAGTAAGGACTTCACTTTAAGAAGATACAGTCTTTCACATATCATAATTGTTGTAATTAATATATATACGCATATGCAAAAATGTAGTTTCAGCTGTAGTCCTATATTTTCATGATTTAAAGTTTTTTCTTGGCAGGGCCAGGGGAGGTGAGGCAGGGAAAGGAAAAAAAAACCCCAACAAAAAACCCCAAAACAAAACAAAAGATACAGTATTTTGCTCAAAATCATTAATAAGCATTTTTCGCCTTAATAATTACTACCAGAAATTACAGGAGCATTTATCTTTTCTTTTTAAATGAAGGCTCAGTAAGAGCGGTAAGAAAGCCAAGAACATGCTGCGTCAGTCTTGCCTTTTTGTTTAAGGTCCTGAGTATAGCTTACAAAGTGTCCTTTTTGCTATTATGGCACATCTATGTATGCCTACCGTCTAGCTCCCTACTCCTTCAGACCTTTCAAAGCAAACATAAAGTAATTCCCTCCAACACACACACTCACGCTCTGCTGCTTTAGTAACAAGTTTCTCAGCTACAGGCCAATTATTCCTAAAGAAGAATCAGCTGAATTATAAAAACTGCTACCCGAAAATCTCCAATAGCAGAAGAATCTTTATCTTATAAGGGAAACTGCCAGTTATCTATGCTGTTAAGAAGTAAAAATAATTGTAAATAGCGGATAAGTTGAAAGAGGTAGTCACCTTTGCTAAAAGCAACTTAACACTTAGGCAGCATCAAGAATGGGAAAGGAGAACTAAACTGAATCAAGGAAATTCCACATAATTCATTCCTCACATTAATGCATATATGAAAGTTAAATGAACAGTTTCGTTTAGTCTATGTTACAGTAAATGAAGTTATAAAAGCAGGTATTTCCCCAAACTTGCACGTGTTGGAAAATTTGTGACACTCTAAAACTTTCTAAAAAACCCAATAAATTTATGCTGCCTCCAACCCCTCTAACACAGTGGATGGTTTTGAAGGTAGTGGTTAGTAGCTCAAATTATTTCCACTTTAATGTGCATTTTTTTCACAACAGAAAGTAGCATTTGTATTTTATGGCTCGCTCCTGCCTTTCCCCACCTCTTGTATCATTACTTTGGACAGGATGAGGACCGAGTGTAATTCATTTGACTTCTAAAGCAACTCTGTTAAATGAATGGTTAGCTCTTAAATGCAGCAACATAAATCAGCTCTTGTATGAACAAATGTGTGAAGAATGATAAATCGAAGATGGCAAACAGGAATCCCAATGGGCAAGAGATTTCAGAGAAGCTACATACCAGTAAATCTTACTTCAGTATTAGGCAAAATGAAGGCAATAATAATAAAAGCAATTAGCAGATACATAGATATATAACACATAATGAGGAATATGTTTTTTGCAGAAAAAAATTACTCTCACAAATGTAGCAGAGTTGTTAGAAGGATTCCATAAACTCTTGCTATGGTGCTTCCCTTACAGGCAGGGTGTATGGAGTTTCTACAAAGTTTCCAAGAGGCCTAAATAAACACTCAAAAAACCTAAACTGTCAAGGATAAAAAGGAAGGGACTCTTAAGGATTCACAACTGGTTAAAAGACAGGAAACAAAGCATAAAAATAATGGCCTTTTTTCACAATGAGGAGAGTTACCAGTGGAATCCCACATGAATCAGTGTTGAGATCTGTGCTACTCATCTTCATGAAAGAACTGGAAAGGGTGGTGAATTAATAAGATGACAAAATGAGCAGAAGATACTTTACTATCTAGAGGATTAGGTATGAGTTGATTAAAGAATTTGGAAAGGGATCTATACTGATTGATCTCCAGTTGACATTTTGTGGTTAAATGTCATTAAATACAAAGTAATGAACTTACAGTATCTGCTTTTTCTTAGTGAAAACTACTGTGGTTACATAAATTAGCTTATGCCGCTCAGGAGGGTCACTGTAGATAGCCTGATGAAACCATAAGCTCAGTGCTCACTAGACTTTTTCATTCTGCTGACAGAATGCTCAGGAGCACTGGAAGAACTGAGAAGAACAGAAAACACTGCTTTGTTACTGTTTAAATAAACTACGTGTTCACATCTTTGTTAGTGGCCACAGGCCTCTTGCCCTCTCTCTCCTTCTGCCACCCTTCACCTTATGCTCTATAGCAAAAGACAGAAAGAAATATAGGTCTTATATAAACTAGAAGCATCCAACTTCTAGCTCTAGGTCTCTGAAGTACGTATGACCAGGAATTAGAAGAGTAGAAAGCAGAAGGGAAGAATCACTAATTTTTTTTTTTCTTAGGATGTTTGTAATCCACAGATTACACACTTTCAAAACCTGAGGGACAAATCAGGCTTCCCTCCCCCCCCCCCCATTAAATTAAAAAGCAGTCAAATCTTTGGTGCTAACTGGACATATATAGTCTCCCCAACTTGCACCAAGAACCTAAATAAATTCAGTAAATGCAAAAGCATAATTGGAATGTAGATTTGACCAGAGCTAAAGATGACAAGTAAAAAGAAAGAAATTACTTTTTTAAACAGTCTGAGCTACTAGAAGCAGTTTGTCACAGCTGCTCAAGGACTTAAGATAAATTTGTATCATGGTGGGGGAGAAGAGTAAGTTTGCACTGTACTCTGATGCCATTGATGGACTGCTTGTGGTAGCTTGGTCTGTGTCAACTCAATCTTTAATACAGCCCGCTCTCTCACACAGACAGACCTGCAAGATCTTTCTCTCCCACGAATGTTGGTTCTTAACCACTATAAGCAAGTAGTAGTATACAGACAGAGATGTCTTTGAAAATGTGCAGCACAGCATTCAAGTTTTCCACTGACTATTCACATGAAGAACAGTTTGAACAGCCATTGGTCCTCCTTCCTGTGTTTAATAAAATTGTTTTTTCCCCATCTTTACACTTATGTGAGAAGAGAGAAGCCCTGCAAAGATAAGTGAATTAGGTAGATGGCAGTCCAACATCTAAATTCCTGATACAGTCCCCTCAAGCAGAAATAATTTATACAGAAGATCAGTTTTAGCAGTTCAAATACATTTTCTTGAATCAACTCCAATATTCACTGCAAATTAAAACAAGAGAAAATTTTCTGCTGCAGCCATCCAAAACCATCTACTTCAAGAAAACTGTGTCAATTAAGCATAAAAAAACCTCAAAAATGAATGCCGTACTTTGCCATATCAGCCCTAGTAGGGTCTACAACCAGGTGATTAGTTGATATAATTGTTAAGACCACTTTATGATACTCAAGTACTGTATCTCATTTCTTTTTTACCATCAGATTAGGAAAGTCTTAACAGCAATTTAGGTAACGTGCCCCCCCAAAAAAAAAAAAAATCAGCTCAATACAATGTTTACATTCTGCAAGGAAAGACAGCATTTATGTACCTCAACAGCTAACCTGCCCACAGAAAATAAGCAAGTTTTCTTACTGTAAAGAATGCCTACAAATTCAAAAGCTCCATATTTACCAGGTCTTTGAGCTCCGAAACAAACATGCTATAGGTTCTCCCCCTCCCCTCAAGTTCTCAACAAAACAATTCAAAACTCTGAAATCTGACTCTATTTTAAATTTAACACAGATTCTGTAACTGGAACACAATCATTCTGTGCCACTCATGAGCCAGAATAAAACTCCGGGTAAGACATGTGCCTTTCACTCAACAAATACAGGTCATAGGCAACTGGAAGGAAAGAGGAGAGGAAGGCCAAAGAAGACAATAGTAATACAACTCTACTTCATACAGAACATAGAAAGATACCTATGAAGTCACAGGATCATGTGACTATTCATACAGTTTCTTTCACGCTTTCTTTTAACTTTCTAATGTTATTACTACTATACTTTGCAGTTCAGTAGGGTTCATCATATTTCTGACTGTATCTCTAATGCTCACTCAAAACACTGCATCAGTTATCAATGCCTCCTGAACATTCACATTTTGACTTCTCTGTTGAGATCAGTATTAAAAAAAACCCCACAAACCAAAACACCTCAGCCAGATGTTGTGGTTTGTAAAGCTACCCACTATGAGTGAGACTCTCACCTCAGCTGGCATCTCCTTCAAAAACCAGTGGGCTGAATTTTAAGCCAATACACAGGAAAGGTCTAGGCAATTCTAGAGGACTGAAGCAGCATGAGACAAAAAAAGGACTATATCCTGTAATGTTTATTGTTGAGGTGTCATTTTGTAAGGAGCAAATAGAAACACTTAGATGAAGAATCTCAGACTGCACCACAGAGCAATATTGACAAATTATATCCTATTCACCCATGTTACCTATCTTCTCCATCAGGTTATTCCTCGCTCTAGATAAACAGAAACTCATCCTGCCCATAAGCCAAACAGCTGTCCCCACTTAGAACACCCCTTCTCAGAAGACAACATATCACATCACTAAAAAGCATTTGGTGTTTTAAACACAGTAATTGTAAAGATAGTGTAGACAGAGAAAGGGAACAATTCCAGAGAGAAAGGAGGACAAAGTCTTGATCAACAGAATACACTGATCACAAGCACGGTTGATAGGAAGACACAAAGCAAGCAAAATTACTCAGCCTTTTAGAAGAAAACAAAAGTAGTACTGAAAAAGCAGTAAAAGGACACAGAATAAGGATAAAATCAGAGGAAATAACTTGTCCTGGGCTTTCAGATGCTTCCAGACTGCAGTGTTTCCCTTGCTCTCCCTTCCTCACTCAGCATCTCCTGAGAAAAAACAGCCCACGTTTACAGTTTGAAACCTCCCATTTCAGTAAGCGCCCTTCCTCGGCAACTTCTGCAGAGGCGGTCGGGGCGGCTGCTCAGGCGGCCGGGCTGACCCGACGCCTCTGCAGAGCCCGAGAGCCCTCGCCGCGGGGACAGGCCGGGCGCTGCACCGGCACGGCCAACCCGTACTCACATATTCCTTCACGTTTTTCGTCTTCACGGCCTTGTAGGAGGAGTATGCGGGATAGAGGGTGCCGAAGATCAGCCTGCGAGAACAACAGACCCTTCAGCGCTTCACGGCGCCCCTCACTGTCGGCTGCCTCCG